ACAAAAGTATTTTTATTTAATTTGTTTGTTTTGAATCAATGTTGTAATTTTGTTTGTTAAAGGAGAACATGTGGTTCCTCTCCTTCCCCTACTGGTGGCGTTAAAAACATTTGTTTGAAATGCTTTACCTATGGTATAAATAATATGGTTATAATAATAATAATAATAATAATAATAATAATAATAATAACTTAAGTGTAAAAAATAAAAATGTTTTTTAGAATGTATTTATGCTATCTTAAAATATATACATCACAAAAAATAACTCTCCAGAGTAGATATTGTTAGTAAGTGAAACGTCATGACTACTATTGTAGCATCTTATTGGATGGTCTGAAATGTCAATCAAACGACTTGAACCCACTCTCTTATTGGAACATCTAAAAAAGGAGCTGCTAACGTTTGGGCTCGTCTTTTTGTTACAAACAATACATTCTGCAACTCGAGTTCGATATAAATGCCCCAAGACGGTGGTTCTCCAACCATGGTACGAACACAAGTGACGGAACCTGGACGTCGTTTCATGGTACCTAACAGAATTCGATTCTCTTTACGATTAGGTGAGATACAGCTGATAGGAATTAACTCCCGCTCTGTGTGTTTGTCTTGTTCGAGAACTTAATTCAGGCGCCAGTTGTAGTAATACAGTCCTTTACAGACAGGACAGACGTTGGTCTGTGTTGGAGTTACCAACTTTTCCCTCCCAGTTTTCATGAATTTTCGACATTCAAATTGCATTGAATGATTATGAGTTGATTATTATTCAATACCGCCTCCACGTGGTGAGTATTTGAAAATTAAAAAGTACGTACGTTTTATTTATTTCTATTCAGAATAAAGCTAAACATTATTATATTTAAATGACCAGAATTTACATAATTACATAGAGCACATCAGGAGAAGGTTGAGGAGTGGAGGGAAAAAGCTTAAAAGCACAGACGAGATGCTCTGGACATGTGTTTAGCAATTCTGGTAACCCAAAATAACCCCAGGTCCCAAGAAAAACAACACCATTATTCCGTGGAAGGCTAAATAGTATGCATGGAGGCACAGTTAGCAATCCTTCCTCCATGAACCAGCCCTCCTTACAAACACTGAAAGTCATGAAGTGTTAGCCTTGCCCTGTTATAAAGAAAACACTAAGGGTTTCTGTTGTAAAAGTTATCAGAGCCTAAAACCCATATCCTGGTTAAAAGCAGTGATGCTGCTACTGTTTTCACAACTGTCCTAATACTAATTTTGTTTTTTGTAAAGTAACGAGTAGCTAAGCTGTATTTGCTCTTTGATTTTATTTAGATTTAGATTACTATATTTAACCCATATCCACAAGTGGTACTAGACCACCAGGCTTTGATTTCTAAACCAATTGATGTTTCATTTGTTTTCAAAATAACATCACACATAAAACTTTGCTAAGAAAAAAGGATGGATTTTCATATTTCAGAGTATTCGTTTTTGTTGGATTTTTAAACATTTTTAAACCATGTTTTTCTGGAAATTAGGCTTTGCAGATGAAAACCCCAGTTGATGTCAATACAACACACCATTTGTCACAGAGTAAGTCATTAACATAATATTCATAGCTTCTTTACAAACCAAATTTGAACTTTTTTCAATTTTAAACTTTTATGCCTTTTATTCTATTGTATTATTTTCTATTCATTTTTCTATTGATTTCTATTGTATTTTTTATTATTTATTATTCTATTGTATTCTGTAGGTCATAGACCATATAGATCATATAACCCATGGAGAAAAAATGACTTTTAGTAAAGTAGATTCCCAACACAATCCTGTAACTTTAATTTCTAATTGTGTTTATGATGTTTAATTTCAGATCTCTGACACACAGTGAATATCCCCTGCCTTTTACTGGAAATGATGACGTAAGTATTGGTCATTAAAAGTGTTATGTCATATAATAATATGATCTGGTCTTCACACAAACGAGTCTTCAGGTAACGTTGACTCTAACCATCACACAGCTGTCCTCCTCTGGGAGTGGTCCACAGCTATGTTTACACTTGGAGGTGCTGAAGCTGAGTTCAAGACCATGAAGAAAATGTCTATGACGGGATTACCAGGATTTAAGTGAAGATATGACCCAAGAGTAAACAGCTCCTGTACAAGAGGATGTGATGAAGAGATAAGAAGATAAACTCACCAGCTGGGACAATTAAAAACATCCATATCTGAATAATTGTTTTATGTTACCTCCCTGTCTACACAAGACTGACAGAGTTGACATCAGTGCTGTCTTTGATAAAATGACAGCTACTGAAAAGTTTGTCCTCCTCCATGTGCTTCTGAGAAATGTGCTGATCATGTGAACTAAATACTACTACTACTTTAATAATGTATTTAATGCCCTGTGCACCTTTTAGTGAAACACTGCTGAACTCCAACAGACAGAGACAACTGATTAATGATAATGATAACTGTAAAATACAGCACAGATAGCAGAAAAGGTTAGCTATATTGGAGGACCGTTTTATAAACAGTTATTATTGTGCTGACAGAACTACACACATATATATGTCTGACCCTTATATACCACGATACTGGTCAAAATTAGCACAAATGAGCTGCCACACCTTATAGATTACCAAACATAATCTATATAAGTTACATAAATAAGTTATTATTTAATGTAAAACTAAATTTCTTCTTGTTGAATAACAATAACCTGTTAAAGTCAAAGCGCAGTGTGTTGTGAATTAGCCCAAAACATACTGCATAGCATAAGATTTTTCAAATTTACCTTGAACTTTCTCTTTGGGTTAATGTTTTTATTACGTTGACAGAAACCATCAGTGGCTTTAAAACATGTTGGAACAATTGTTAGCTGGTGATAATGAGGAATGAGTTTGGTTTAAAGGCGTGCAAATTTTGAACTGCATGTTTGTCTTGGTGATAAAGTTAAGGTTACTTAAAAAGTAGGTGGGAACACATGCAGATAAATCTCAGTATAAAAGCCTTCCATCTGTCATCTGGGTGATACCTGCTCTGGTGACAGCAGCAACCATGGAGGGGAGGTGTGTGTGGTTGAGTTTGTTCTCACTGTGTGTTGTCACTGTCCTTCATGTACAAGCCAGAACCGGTGAGAAACTCTTCACAACTCTACTGATGGAAATTTCGCCGCGTTCGGCTGTGAACGTTCAGCACTTAAACTGACAATAACCTAGTTTTGTTTTTTGAAATTTTCAGTTCGTAACCACGTCAGCAGCATCTGTAGCACATGGGGCAGAAACCACTTCAAGACATTTGATGGTGATGTGTACCAGTTCCCGGGCCCCTGTGAATACAACCTGGTGTCTGATTGCCATGAGACCTATCAGGAGTTTTCTGTTCACATCAAGAGGAAAGAGGTGGAGGGGAATCCTACTGTCAGCCACCTGGTGGTCACTATCAATGACCTTGTATTCCACCTCAGCAAGAATCTGGTCTCCGTAAACGGTGACATGTAAGTAGAAATAGACTTCATGAAGTTATTTCAGCAGTACTGTTTCTTTTAACTAAAGCTATATACTTTTATAATATATTGCTGTTTTTGACAGTGCCAACTTGCCAGTCTACCAGTCAGGGGTGCAGGTGGAAAGAAATGCAGTTTACGTCAAACTCCAGTCCAAAGTTGGCATCACTGTCCTGTGGAATGGGGACGATGCAGTCATGGTAAAACATTTTATTAATTTTATTTAAAGTCGACTTCTTCATAAATATCTGCAAAACATTGATAATGAAAGATTTAACGCGTTTACATATTAAACACCAGAAAATAAAACATAACTGAACTAGGTACATTACTGGTGAACAGGTCATTATCATTGATAATATATGTTTATCAGCTATTGATAATTGAGTATATTTAAAGATAAATCAATATTTTTACTTCCTTCTCTTCATCTATCCATCCAACCACCTATCTTCATCCACACCCACTCCCCATCACATGGAGAGCTAAATCTAATTTTCTCATTATTTACCCATGTTATTTTAATGTCTACTCTATAATTTATTCCTACCGTAGTGCTCAGAGTTGTTGTAATTACACAGTAAAAGTGATTGACTGTTGTCTGTGCTGGTGCATTTGTTAACACCTTTGCGCTGTTTTTTATGCAACCCCTGCTCATAGTCTCTTGGTCTGTGTCCTTTGACGTAGGTCGAACTGGATCGGGACCTTGTCAATACAACATGTGGACTTTGTGGAGACTTTAATGGACTTCCAGTCTACGATGAGTTCATTTTCGATGGTACATTCTCAGCTGTAAAAACATGTCATTATGCCTTGAAAAGGGACAATACGTATTGTACCTTTTAAAGGCATCACAAAGAATAAAATTTCTGTGCAGGCCGCATAACCAGCTCTATTGAGTTTGGCAACAAACACAAGATCCATCAGCCAAACGAAGACTGTGAGGATCCCTATGAGGAGGACAGCGACTCAGATGAAACTCAGACAGTGCCAGAGTCATGCAAAGAGTTTGTGAGTTCATTCATTGTGTTTTGAAAAAAGAAAATTCTGTTTTCACCAATGTAATTTTTACTGTTTCTCTCTCACAGCAAACTCAATGTAGCAAAATGCTACAGTCAAGTCTTTGGAGCTCTTGCGCCGCACTGATTGACCCTCAGCCTTACATCCAGGCCTGTGTCCAGGACATGTGTGGCTGCAGCACGGCCAATGACTTCTGTGTCTGCAGCACACTGTCTGAGTTTTCACGGCAGTGTTCCCATGCAGGAGGAGAACCTCCCAACTGGAGAACAGTGGAGTTTTGTGGTAATTGCCATCTTTTTTTGAATTGTATTGTTGATTTTGTCCAAAGATGCTAAAGCACTGACTTCTGCTTAGTGAAAAAAAACCCCACTTTAACTACATTTATGACATCTCAAGTTGAAGGTTTAAGTAGTAGCTCTAATACTGAGAACTAAAAAGTGATTAAAAAGGGAGGTGCCATTAAGTATGTGGTTCTTCTGGGGCTGGAATCTGCCTGTAAGGCAGATGTGTAAGGCAGGCTTGATAACCGCTGAGTTATGGAACCACAGATTAACAGAAGATATGCTACAACATGTTGCCCCTTGAAGGCACCAAATTCTGTCTCAATCTCGCCCTGCCTTCGGGTTTCCCTACTCTTACCCTAACCATCTCCATGTCCACCTGCAGTACATCTGTGTATATTCTCTGGTGCCTTTCTTCTTCTGAGTATTCTGGCTGGCTGCTCCATCATCTTTTGTCCACTGTGGCCACATCAGGTTCACAGCTTGTGCCTAAAACATGGATACATTACGTCTTCAGTTCCCTCCAGCTGCTGTGTAAACCTCTTTTAAACTGATCAGTTGTATGTGTAGAATAACATATAATATGGAACTGCTGGACATTTATGGAAATTAAACTGTTATTTCCCAGCCTGGGATTAATAAAGTACATCTGTCTAGCTATCAATCACATAAAAAATGCATTAAGAAATATTTATGGTGCACATCGACGTGTCACATTAATTCAAAATTAATGATTCAAGGGAGCTACTTTTTTTTAATCCTTAATTGAATGATATGTTCAAGGTAGGGAATGGTTGCATTAATGTGTTCACTCACATCTTTCCAGCTAAACAGTGTCCATTGAACATGGTTTACAAAGAGAGTGGCTCACCCTGCATGGACACTTGCACCATTAGGGACACAAGCTCAATGTGTGAGGAACACAAAATGGATGGGTGTTTCTGTCCTCCTGGTCAGTGCCTTTTTTTCCCTTTTTTTTATTTCAAGAGAGTTTTTAAAAAATGTGTTAACGCAGTTGTTTATGAACACACCTGCTCCAGGAACTGTGTTTGACGATATTTCCAAGAGAGGCTGTATAAATCAGTCCGAGTGTCTGTGCAAACATGACAGAGTCTACGCCTCAGGAGAGATTTACCAACAGGACCGAGAGGAGTGGTACGTCAAGTGTTACGTATTGTGATAACCTTTTCATTTATTTATACATATTTTACCATTAACATGCAAATATTTATGTTGTTGGTTCATTTTATTTTGCTTTTTTTTATTCTCTAGTAATTACAAGATCCCTCTGTTCCAATATTAGTAACCTGATGTTAAGCATGTAACTTTTTTGTGTTTACTCTGCTGACAGTTCTTGTTACAATTATTTGCTTAAAAAAACCTTTGTGCCTATAGTACTGCAGTATATCTCAATATATCGTATCCTTGCACCTGTATCATAATGTATGTATTGTATTGCCAGTTGTATCTTGCCAATACACACCCCTAGAGATAATAGTAAATGTACAACTTAGGATGTGTTGTAATTTTCATTCTCTAATTTTTCTTATTATTTCAGTACATGTTTAAATGGTGAGTGGTCATGTCAAAGTCTCCAAAAGCCTGATACGTGTGCCGTGGAGGAGGGTTCCCATATAACAACCTTTGATGGGAAAAGCTTCTTGTTTCATGGAGAATGTCAATACACCCTGGTTAAAGTGGACAGCAAGGTGAGATGTCTCTTCATCATCAAATTGCATAGTTTAAAATAGTGTTTTAATCACTGCTTTACTCTGTTCTTCAGGATGACACAAATCCTAAATTTACCATCAAGGCTCAACTTATGCCCTGTGCAAACCAAATGCATGACACTTGTCTCAAATCCCTTACAGTACAGCTGAACAATGATATAAGCAATGTGAGTAGAAGTCTCTCTGGAGCCAGAGTATAACTGAATGTATGCATCAGATACAAATATTAACACTCAAATGTTATACTTGTATGTATTTAGGTTTTAACATTCATGTCAGACGGAACAGTGAAGCAGAATTCACAGATTGTCAGTTTGCCATACCAGATACAAGGTAGGTGTCACCCAGAGAAACCAGAGCTCTGATGTTGATTGATGGAGACAGACTCTCTGATTTTGTCTTCTTTTTCTCAAGGGGTTGTCTACATATTCCATGCTTCATCCTTTCACATCATGCTTCAGACAAGCTTTGGATTACAAATACAGATTCAGCACGTGCCAATGATGCAGGTTTACATCAGCCTGGAGCAGAACTACAGGTCAAAGACTCGAGGTCAGATTTACAACACAGTTAGAAAATTAAACTCTAACCACCACTTTAGCAGTAATGACAGGGGACAGATGTTCCTAAAACGAGGCAGCTAAACAGATAAAAAACCAAAATGCTGTGTACGTTGAGGTTGTGCTTTATATAAACCATTTGGTTTCTTTAGGATTATGTGGAAACTACAACATGGTTCTGGCTGATGACATGAAGACACCTCAGGGGAGTGTGGAGGGAACAGCAGTATCATTCAGTAACTCTTGGAAAACTAACCAGGGGTGTCCAGACAGGAAGGAAAGACTGGAAGACCCCTGCTCTCTCAGTATGGAAAATGGTAAATTGAATAATTACAATTTGAATCAATGTAAAATACCGACCCACAGCGCAGGAAGACAAAGTGTTTACCTTAAATATAAATAGTTTTGTTCTCTGAGCTCCAATAACGTCATTTCCCTATGTAGTTTGGACTTTGCAATTTAGATTTGGCAACAATTCTGCCTCATTTTAAGTAAAACAAATCTGTGTCTGCTCATCAACACTTCCCCATTTCTCTTATTTCATTGGATAATCACTAAAGAACCATAAATGTTTCTCTGTTTCTCTTAAAATAATTTGAATGATAACAGTGCTGCCGTTGATCAGCTCTTATTCTAGTACAGCTTTACACTTAAAGTTGACAAGAGGCCACACCTGAATTAACAGCAACATCACTTATAGATTGATTGGTTATGATGTTATATTCTGGATAATTTAATTAAATGTATTTTACAATAGAAGAGTTACTGTCCTTTTTCAGAGTGGTATGCCAAACACTGGTGTGCCTTGCTGCTGCAGACAAACAGTACATTTTCACTGTGCCATTCACTGGTTGATCCTGAGCTTTACCACAAGGTGGAGTAAAATATTTCACATATATATACAAAATATACAAAATATTTGTCACATTTTAATAAATATGTGCTTAAACTGAAGTTCACTCGGATTTTTTTTTTTCTCCCCCACAGCGATGTATTTATGCCAGTTGTAACTGTGAAAAGAACGAGGACTGCCTGTGTGCTGTCTTCTCCTCTTATGCACGAGCTTGTGCGTCTAAAGGAGTATTCCTGACAGGCTGGAGAGAGAATGTGTGCGGTAAGGACTTCTTTTATAATATCTATGCACTCATACTTACCATACTCTATGGTTTATTATATCTCTATATTGTGCACCAATCAGATAAATACTCAAAGAACTGCCCGGCATCTCAGACCTTCACCTACAAAAATCAGAGATGCCAGATGACATGCAGCTCTCTGGGCTCAGTGCAGCAAAGCTGCAGCAATGACTTCTTGCCTGTAGATGGCTGCACTTGCGCTGAGGGTCTTTACCTGAACGACGAAGGCATCTGTGTCCCCATGGCCAAGTGTCCTTGCTTCTATAATGAAGGCAAAATAAAGCCGGGAAAATCTTTTAACATCAAAGATGAGCACTGGTGAGTCAGTGATGACATTGTCCTGTAACTCAAACTCAGACTATAATCAACCCTGGGAATTGATTCTTTTAAATCCCTTTACAATAATGAATCTGTGCTTGATCTTCTTTAGCGTTTGCACCAATGGAGTGCTTCACTGTCATTCCTTGAGATCCCGATCACTGAGTAGGTTGTTTTTCTGTGGTTATAATTTTTATAACTATTATTACTTTGACTTAAAGAATAAATATTTGTTGGGTATACAGTACATAATGAAACTCTTTGCTCCACTTCCTCAGCCTGCCCTTCTCCAAAAGTATTTTTCAACTGTTCCACTGCCAGTACAGGAGAGCTTGGAGTCCAGTGTGCTCGAACATGTTTAAATCTGGATAATGACGATTGTGTAAGTCTTTTTTTTACAAGACATATATATATTTAAACATATATATTCTATTCTATTTTATTATCCAAAAAACATTTTAATTTGTGCAAATATATTCAGGGAACGTATTTAAGATACAAAAATGTCTCCCAAAAAGTCAACCAATAACATTCTCAGACCATCTTGGACCACCTGTAAGTGAAAGTGAATTATTGTCACTGATTTACAGCACACCACTGCACACAATAAAATGTGTCCACTGTATTTAACCTATCACCATAGTGAGCAAGGGGCAGCTCAGGTGAGCGCCCTGGGTGCAGTGTGTGGGGATGGTGCCATGCTCAGTGCACTTCAGTGGGACTTGGTGGGTGGTGGATTCCAACCGGCAACCTTCCAGACACAAGTCCCACTCCTTAACCACCAGGCCACCGCTGCCTTTGACTGTGTTTTCAACTTTCCGAGTTTATTTCGAACATCATTGCAATTCTCTTTCCACAGGACTCATCGGAGTGTGAATCTGGCTGCCGTTGTCCCAGTGACCGCCTTGATGATGGAAAAGGTTCCTGTGTGATAGAAGAAGAATGTCCCTGTCAACATGATGGACGTCTGTATGCAAGAGGAGCCCAAATTCCCAACCAGTGTAATACTTGGTATGTCCTTGTTTTTGTCTTGTCTTTCTGTCTTTCCCTGCTCTATACCACCTCTGTCCTATGCTACTCAGTTCATCAGTCTTACTCATCGGACCAGTTGCCCTGGGTATTTTTATGTCTCTCTATCACTTGGTCCTTGTCCATTCATTGTTTGAGTTTTCTTTCATCTCTATGTCCCTGTGTTCTCTGGTGGTTGTGGCATTTTTAAACCATGTCTTTGGCTTCAGGCTTCCGCTCTGCCTGTTCCGTCTGCCTGGCACGAGGGAGATTCTCTCAATTGTTAGTTTAAGATTGTTAGTATTATGGAAATTATGAAAGCAACTAAGTTAAATAATGAAACAAAAACGCTTCAGAACAACAGTCTTGTCAAGCATTCCTGCCGTTTGCATTTTAGTCCTCATATACAGTTATATATGTTCTGCACAAATTATGAATTCTTATCAATCCAGTACCTGCAGAAGTGGAAAGTGGGACTGCACAGAGAAAAAATGCCCAGGAACCTGCACTATTTATGGAAGTGGTCACTACACTACTTTTGATCAACGGAGATATGTCTTTCATGGACACTGTGCCTATATAGCTGTGAAGGTAAGGCCCTTTGACACCAATATTTTGTCTCCTTTTTTCATTGCTCATTCTGTGCGGCGGTGTCACAGCGATGTGGAGTAAAACTTGTTTCTTTTTAAGAACAAATGTGGCAACAAAACAGCACAGCAGAACTTTGGGGTTATCACAGAAAATGTGCCATGTGGATCCACAGGTACCACATGCTCCAAAACTGTCAGAGTCCAACTTGGGGTAAGATTTCACAAGAACTTGTAAAATATAGACTTTTATATATATATATATATATATAAAAATCTCCTTTTACAGCGAACAGAAATTAAACTCTCAAAAGGAAAACATGAAGTAGAGGACCTGGGAACAGGCCCTTGGATTTTTTACAGAATAAGAAAGTCTGGTTTGTATCTGGTTGTTGAAACTGCCATTGGCCTGGCTGTTGTGTGGGACCGCAAAACAACTGTTCACATCATACTTGAGCCACAGCACACTGTAAGTAACACTGTGGAAAGTTTGGAATACATGCAATATCACAAATGGCCTGAAACAAAAGCAAAACTTTTGGGAATGTTTTCATGTTATTTATTTGTTTATACATGGTGCACCATATGTAGAATTTCTTCAATGTCCTGTTCATTTCATAGGGGGAGGTGTGTGGTCTGTGTGGAAATTTTGATGGTGATGGCCAGAATGACTTCACCACTCAGGGCCACTTGCTAGTTGGCAAATCATTAGCGTTTTCAAACACCTGGAAAGTATCCAGCAGCTGCCCAGATGCCGATACAAACATGAACCCCTGCGAAACCACACCCAAACGAAGCCACTGGTCCAAAATTATGTGTAGCATTATAACTGGAGATACGTTCAAAGACTGCCATACTAAGGTACGAAAATGTTGTTGCTTACATACAAATCTCCAAAGTTCCATGGTTAAAAAATGAAAAAAACATCTGTGTTGCTTTTAAATGCAGGTAGATCCCCTGCCTTTTTTTGAAAACTGTGTAAGAGACTCATGTGCCTGTGACACTGGAGGAGACTGTGAGTGCTACTGTGCAGCAGTGGCAGCGTATGCTCAAGCTTGTAATGAAGCAAGTGTCTGTGTTTCATGGCGAACTCCAGAAATTTGTCGTAAGTAGACAATAAAAGGAGCATGCTCAAATGTTTCTTCTTCCCTGGGGCGTTGTATTTATCTTAAGATTCTTGTTTTGGCACGTGGAGATTAATTATTCAGAAAAAGAGTGAAAAGGAAATTCAATAATTTGTGTTCAATATTCTCACCAAACAGGTCAATTTTTGTCAACATTTTCCATTGTCCAAAAAAAACCCCAAAAAACATATTTTATTTTCTCTAGCTGTCTATTGTGAGTATTACAACGGTCCAGAAGAATGCAGGTGGCACTACGAGCCGTGTCATAAGGCTTGCTATAAGACCTGTTTGAATCCTGAAGGAACTTGTATCAACCCTTTACCTAACCTGGAAGGTAATATTCTTTTATGGATATTTTTGACTTGATTCATAATTTACAAAACGAAAAAGGGAACTGGTCAGTATGAGACTAACCAATTCAAATTCTTTATTTATACAGGTTGTTATCCTGTTTGCCCTGAGGATAAACCCATATTTGATGAGGAGAATCAGACATGCGTAGAAGATTGCCCTGGTTGTTACTATAATGGAAGTAGATATGAAGAAAATGAAGTTATTTTTAATGTGACAGATAATTTAGGAATGTGCTACTATGCAATCTGCATCAACTCAACCGTAAAATATCGAGAAGAACCATGTAGCACCACCACCACTGTCCAGCCATCAACAACCACTACTCCACATGTAACTACAACCACAACAATAACAACACCACCAACTGTACCCACTACTACAACTGGAGCGGGAAGTTCAACAACCACGCCTCATCTGACTAAGTCTACTACAACCTCTGAGAAACCAACAACAGTTATTTCTACACTGCCACCAACTGTACCCACTACTACAACTGAGCCCCCCACTACTACTCCACATGTAACTACAACCACAACACTAACAACACCAACAACAGTGACTACAACAATTGCTACAACAAAATCAACAACAATTATTACTACTACCACTGGGGAGATAGTTTCATCTTCTACAACACAACAGACTACAACACCAGAGAAGTCAACTGTAACCACATCAACTTCACCACCAACCAAATCCACTACTACAACTGGAGTGGGAAGTTCAACAACCACGCCTCACCTGACTGAGTCTACTACAACCTCTGAAAAACCAACAACAGTTATTTCTACACCGCCACCAACCGTACCCACTACTACAACTGAGCCCCCCACTACAACTCCACATGTAACTACAACCACAACAATAACAACATCAACAACTTTGCTGACTTCTACTGCTTCTACATGTAGCAAAACATGTGAGTGGACGGAGTGGTTTAATGTGCATGATCCGTTAGTGGACAAAAGTGACTGGGAGACATATAAAAATATCACTGACAGTGGAAAGACGATATGTGAAAAACCCTGGGATATAGCATGTAGACCAGCAGATTATCCTAGTGTAGACTTTGGTGACTTTGTGGAACAAAGTCAACAAGTTGTCACCTGTGATGTGACTTTTGGTTTAATATGTAAAGAGAAAGACCAGACTGCCCGTCCGTTTAAATGTTTTGACTACGAGATCCAAGTTTGCTGTGAGGAAGATATTTGTATCAGTACAACTACACCCACAGCTACTACAACATTAGCTACAACAACACCAACAAAAATTACCACTACTACCACTGGGGAGATAGTTTCATCTTCTACAACACAACAGACTACAACACCAGAGAAGTCAACAACAGTTATTTCTACACTGCCAACAACTGTACCCACTACTACAACTGGAGTGGGAAGTTCAACAACCACGCCTCACCTGACTGAGTCTACTACAACCTCTGAAAAACCAACAACAGTTATTTCTAC